GAACCTCCTGGTTTATCTGAAAGCCTTTTTGATAGCATCAGATAAGGTACATTTCAGTGGAAGGGACTAGAAGACTACAAGAGGAGAAACAAAAATATCTTGCCCTATGCCAGATCTAAGTGATCTTCTATACATCCATCGACTCTTTCCTAGCTACAGTTCATACACTAAAAGAACAGTCAAAGAGCTACGATTTTCTGTATTTCTCTATGACCGACTGAAATCTAGATTTCAATGATCAATAAGGGTCAGAAGAAAGAGGTTAAGAGGAAGAGGAAAGTTCACGACCTAAGGATAGAGACAAAGTTTTCACAAGTGAAGATTGACCAGTCTGTTTGTCAGAGAGGTACTGACCTGAGCTTTCCTTGCTGATATTAGGCCTCACCACACCAGAAACACACAGAGAAACATGGAGATTTACTAACAAATGGACAAAAACTGCTGTGTGAGTTTTAAGTTTCCTGTTTTACAATTTTTGAAACAGGATATACATTAGATATTGCTAACTCTTGGCAAGGAATGGGAAGAAAGGGCTGGATTCATGCTTTCTATGATGCATCTTCTAGCCAATGTACTTACCAAGGCTTAGCAACTCAGTGCCTGGTGGCTCACTAGGAGCAGCCTAGTGATTAGGAGATAACTGGATTCACAACACAAAACTAATTTGTGTAGGATGATGTGAAGGGAGCTTGGTCATTAATAATCAACGCCAGCATGACTGGGTTTAGAACCCTTTAGGAGAGACACCTCTAAATGCCTGGGGGGGGGACATTACAGGGAGTTTAGCTAAGAAAGGCAGACCTAGGAAAATACAGAAGAGAAGAAAGCTCCTGAATGCCTGCATGCCCCCTTCACTGGTCCCTGATCAGCCCAGAAAGGAGCATGTTCCAGCCACCATGGCTGTGAGCCACTCGTGTTGCCGTGTGCTCTCCACATGATGGTGTCTGACCCCTGGACTGTGAACAAGGACTAGCCACCCTTTCTTTACAGTTGATTCGTGTCGGGTATTTGGTCACAACGGTAAGGAAAGTAATTAACCTTGAAAACTGCTACAGAGAATTAAGCCATCATTGTGACAATATGGCTTGGAAACATTTGGTTTTCCAGAGTAATGTGGAGACGTTTGGGGCTATAGGCTAAAGGAACCCTGTCTACAAAGAATATCATAGGCTCTCCAGGAGAATATCTCCTAAGTAGGTCTAAATCCTGTCATACTGACATAGACTATTAACTACCACACCCTCCTTCACACCATTCTGCAAGAAGCAAAGATTTATGACATGAATTCAGTTGTCCTCCCATCGTTGGGGCTGTCCCCTGCAAGTCACCTTGTACTGAAATGCTGACCAGTCCATTACTGATGGATATATCAGAGAAAGCAGAGTCAAGCCACATCCTCCCATCCCTGGCCAAGAGCGAAACGTATCTAATAAATATCACCAGAGTCAGAATTTTTAAAACTGGAAATTTATAAATCGCAGGCCAGCCCAGGTTCATTTGCTAACAGATTAACAGATATGCAGACAGTGAGGCTCGGAAGGCTCCAGAAGAGACTAGGATTCTATTTGAAATTGAACAAAGGGACCTCATGCATTCTAACCAAAAATCTAAGTGTGTTTTGCCCATGCCCTGGAAATTTGAGTGGGAGTGAATTGAAAAGAAATAGACTAAATTGCTTGACAGAGAAAGTGTCAAGACAACACAGCCTGAAGGCTGTGGTACAGTTAGTCATTACGGCTCTTAGCTCTGCAATGAAAGAAAAGCATGATATGAGAAATGTGGTCTTCCCGGAAGAAAAGGTGGTATGTGGGAGAGTGAGCAAGTTAGGGTGGCAGTGGAGAGAGCAGTCAGGATTGTTAGAGATGCAGAAGACAATAGGAGACCACACCCTGAGGACAAAGACCACACCCCTACAAGCCTCCCCTGGTGAAAATGTGAATTCATTTGAAATGGGAGAGCTTGAAGTAAGAAATGTAGTAGAAGTGTTAGAAGTGGCAGATGTCTAGACCTGGTGTTTCCAGGTTTTTGGCCTTTTGTTCAAAGGATAGAAATAAGACCTCATACAGATTTTGCAGAAGAAGCATGGTAACTTTATGCAAAGTAAAGAAAAGAGATAGAACAGATTGGACAGGGTGGGATACACTGTTGAGACTGAGAGCAGGTCACAGAGTGGGGGTTCAAGAGCCCCTGAGCTATTCCCTGGGATCTCTTTTATAGTGTCTAAAGAAAGGAAAGGTTGATTATTAAGGAGCATTTTAGAGAGAAGCTTAGGCTATATGAGACCTTGTCTAAAAACCCATATATGAAAAGCTGAAACGGAGTATTTAACATTGCAAATAAATTTTCAATTGCTTTTTATGATAACTTTTCTCTTCTCATTTCAATACATCAAGGCCCAACCCTGAGTAGCAGGTATCAAACACAATTAAGAGGACCCTTGCTTCTATTCATTTGGATAAGAGGCAGCAATTGCCTTAACAGTGGAAAAGTCCTTGATGCTAGGAGTTGTCAAACCACAGCTTCAGACCGCTGCCTGCTTTGATGAGGAAGATGTTATTGGAACACAGGCACATATGCTTGCTGTGGCTGATTTCACTCTTCCCAACAAAGCTAAAGATCTGCAGGCTTAAAATGCTTACTGTTTACTTCTTTAAGTAAAGAGTCGCCAACCCCTGCCTTTAATGATGCTTCTTTTTATTTCCCTTCCACAAATTAGCAGTTTATTTTTTTACAGGGAAGTCACAAATCTTACAAGATTTAAGAATAACAGTGAACTAATTTAATGGTTATAGATTCGTTACAGAGGAAACCTGATGTCAAAGTACACAATGAGGAACTCTAAAAATAGCTTCAAGTGTTTGCTTGGTTGAATTCTCCACCTTCAAGAGTTTTACTACTCAAGCAAAACTGGTTTTGGGGATAACATGAAAGGCCCTATTAGTTGTTCTGATTCTACAATAGGACTCTCACACACAGAGCGTTTCCCTATGCCGCCGAGGTCCAGCCAAGTCCAAGATAGTTTTACTTTAGCTTACAATGGAGAGAAATAAAGTATTTATCTGGGTGTGAACTTTAATGTTGTTTTTAAAAATTCTCCTTCCATACTTGTCAGTTTCGTATAGAAGCAATGGAAAGAATGGCTCTTTGCGGATATTTAAACACCTAAAAATTAGATTCTTGTACTATTAACTGTACATGATGCTCAACAAGATTAACTCTTCCGTTGGCCATGAGTAGGAAAGGACTCCAAAATCTGTGTTTGTTTGAAGTTCAGGAAGGCCTTTTTCTTGTTTCTTTCAAGAGCCAAGTTCTCTTCATTAAGACTCGATATGTTTCTGATTTAATCACTTAAGTCAATAGCAATTATAATAACAGCCTCTTGAAGACATATTATGACTTGTGCAAACACAACAAGGAAAATTACTGCCCCTGAACTCCGTGTTCTTTCCTTTCAGACTCTACTTCCCCATTCTGATCAGCTTGTTCTTCGGATCTGCCTCACCCTGCCCTCACCCACCTTCCACACAGCCCTGCAGTTGGCATCTGGCTAGTCTCCTTAAAACATGTTTCTCAAGGGTCAGTTCCTTTCACAAGCTTCCAATGGTCAGTTCACAAAAAAATATTGAATTAGTTTGTTTGTTAATTAGCTGATCATTGGTAAATCCCTAAAACATATAATGAACTCTCTCTTCTCTGAATTCTAATAGCATTAGCAAAAAAAAAATGAGTAATGAATAATGTGTATTTTTATATGCAAATAAAATATTATTTTTCTGTAATCTCCTTCAAGATCAAAGAGTAAGAGACAGACAAATAGACAGGATCATACAATGTGGTAAAGAACAGGGGATTTAGTTTTCTTCCTCTGCTTTCCATTTACGTCAGATTTTCCAAGATGCTAAAATGGCTAATTTCCAAAGAGCAGCAAACAGCTCCCAACTCCTGTAATAAATTAATTTATAAGACTATCTTTCTTTCCAGAAAACTTGCAGAGTCTCAGCTCCCCCACAGTATCCTTCCAGAATACGCCTGTCCCCCTCACCACACACCTGCCCCCGGGATTAATTCCTCTCCCTCCAGGGCTGGGGAGAGCCTTGGCTCTGTTTTATCCCGTGACTGCCTTCAATTGTAGTTGCCATTGGCACACATGGGTTGTGCTGTCCAAATAAAAAGAACTCGTGTGCTTTCCAACTCCGTTCTAATGAAAAGTCCAGTCACTCTGTGTTGCCTTTTGGCCCGGCTGTCAGGGGAGGTAGGTGGTTGGAAGGCCGTCCAAGGAAGAGAGAGATAATAATAAATGTCTATGAGCTGGTAGTCCTCCTACACCCCTAGGACAAAGAGAAGCATTTTCAAGTATTCTGTAATGAAGGAAGATTAACGATGCACTAACGGCACAGCAAGTCTGTCCCCATAGAGCGGAACTGGATGAGACAGGAGTGTTTTCCCTGCGATGATTCACCAGTGGTTCATACTAAGGGGAAAGTGCTGAAGACAGAGCAATGGCCATAATTCATCCTTACCCTCTAAGACAAGACAAGCATCCTACCCTCTCATCTTTGAGTCTCTAATAACTTACAAACATTTGTTGCATAAATAGTTGTTGAATCAAGTCAATCAGTTTGCATTCTTCTGGGCTCAGATATATTAGCACTGACTTTGACTTTGGTTACTCTTTGGGTATCTATTCTAAAATGCTGCAACAGCATGGGCATATACGTGTGTGTGTGTGTGTGTGTGTGTGTTGGCCAGTGGTCAGTCATTGGGGTGTTCCTCTCTTATTGTCCACTTCATATTTTGATGGAAGCTTCACTGAGCCTGGGTCTCATCACCTCAGCGAGGTGGGCTGCCTGAGAAGCTCCAAGGTTCTGCCTGTCCCTGCTTCCCCCATGACTGGGCTACAGCTATGCCATGCCACAAGGGTCATAGATGAATTCTTGAGGATACAGCAGGGTTGCCTTGCCATTAAGTAGGTAGAAATCAATGCCTCTGACCACCTGCAGTTTCAGTCCATGCCCAATGAGGTCTTTATTGAGAAATGTCATTGACTCAAGATGTCATCATGGGTGGATTAGGAAGGGCTCAGAAAATTTGAATTGAAGCTACCCACAGCTGCCCCCTTTGCATATATCCCATTCAATGGCAGTGTTCTTCCAGTCTTTCTAGATGCTTTGGACTTCTCTCTCAGTAAGTAGTCCCAGGATACATATTTGTTATATCCATCTTCTTTCCCATCACTTCTATGGAGAATGAATGCACTCCCTTAGGTCTCATTTGTTAGCTTCTGTTTGTTCATCTTAATCCTTGGTGTGGCCAACCTACTACCCAACAATTCTTCAGTAAAAGTAGAATTCTCAGTGATTCAATGCTGGTAGTTTGCTGAGAAGGTAAACCTAAAAATACTGGTAGAAAAGATAGGCAACAAGTGAAGTGTACAATATTACAATATCCAAGTACCCTTTGGGTAACTGGAAGTTATTCTTGCTGAAAATTTTAGGGGTTAGTGTGGCACATCTACCTTAGATTCACCTCGCCAAAGGCTGCAGTGTCTGTTCACCAATTTCCAGCACTTGGCAGCTGAACGTGGTAGTAGGGTGGTGAGGATTGATCTTCCAACATTTCTAACCTCCCCTAAGTGCAGGTACACTGCGACTTCACAGAGCACAGGCTGGCTGCAAAGGAAACAACAAGGCAAAGAGAAGAGGTGCTGGGATCTAGACGTGGGCTCCTGCACACAGCACGGTTAATGCCGAGGATGTGGGAACAGACGACCAGTGGTCTCTGCACACATCTGTACACAAGCATGCATCAACAGGTTCTCCTTCCCTCAAGGACTTTTTATTCTAGTTAGAGGAATGAGTGAAAAATTCAAATGGCTGCCACACATTTGTAACATGATGACCTGGCTTGTTGGGGTACCTGTCCTGCCCGGTACCCCACAGCTGGCAAGTCCCAGAGAAAATCAATCACACAGAGATTTCTGTAAGTTATAAAGTTGATTGGCCCATTAGGTCAGACTACTTATTAGCTCTTATAACTTATGTTACTCCATCATCCTTATCTACATTAGCCACATAGCTCCGTACCTTTCTCAGCTGGGCAAGTTACATGCTGCCTCTTAGGTGGTCTGCACAGGAATGGCTGAGGGAGCTTCTGCTTCCAGAATACTCCCAGTCTCTTTGCTCCACCCCTACTTCCTGTCTGGCTTTCCCGCCTATACTGCCTGCCTGGCCAATCAGCGTTTTATTAAAATATGATTGACAGAATACAGACAATTCTCCCACACCACACATTATCTGAGGCTAGGTCTCCAGGAATATGGTGCATGGGTCTGCCCACTCCATCAGCGACTCTCCAGGACTAGCTGGCATTAGAAAAGGAGATAGGTGCTGGAGTTGAAATTCTTCTCCTTTAAGGAGCCTAATGAGAAAGGAAGGGTTGCTTATTATATATGGTTGAGGGTTGAAGGACCTTCTAATGGGCATGAAAGGAAGGGAGCAGGGCACCTTTGAGGGTTGCTCTAAAGAGAAGAAATACTGGGTCTTGGAAGAGTTGGAGAAGGAAGAGAAAGTAAGCCTATACCAGGCTGATAGCCTGCTAGGACTCCCAGGCTCCGGAGAGCAGGTGTCCCTTGATATAATAATAATAATAATAATAATAAACCTGTCCAACCTAGCAGAGATGGATATGACCCAAGTCTGCTCCACAGTGGAATCATCTTAAATGTATATGATGAAGAATATCACTTATAGTTATTGTCTTCCTTTAGTCGTAACCATAAGGGATCACTTGGGAGACAGGGAAATTGAAGCATCTTCCCATCCTTGACTTGCTCCTGGGGACCAAATGCCTTGTTTTCATTAGATTAGTCGGTAGTGATTATGTTAGTTCATTCTGTGCTGTTGGACAGAATGTTCAGGTTGGGTGCTTCCTAAAGTAAAGAGGCTTTGTTAGCTCAAAGTTCTAGAGATTTGAGAGCATGCTGCCAGATTCTGTTTCATTTTGGTGAAAGCAGATGCCACACAGCATTCGGAGTGAATGAAGAGGAGGTGAGCGGTACAGCAGAAAGGGGGCTCATTAATGGAAAGTGCTTTTTTTCTTCCTGTTTTGCAGAAACTAACCCAGTTCCATGATATCTCCGTTGTTCCCTCCTATGGATGACGTCTCCGTGACTTATTAACTTACTCACTTTCCATTAGGTCCCATTTATAAACTTCCCCACTGGAACGTAAATCTCTTGAAGGGACCTTTGGGGGACAAACCACATTGAAGCAATCATAGTGATAAAAGAAGCAGATAACATTTATTGGGCATTTAGGACGTGTGAGCTGGTCGTGTGCAAGGTACTTTCCACCCAGCCATTCATTTCGTCGTCTCTAAGCCAGAGAGGTGTGTATTGGCTCTATATTGAAAAGGAGCGGCTAACACAGTGACTGTTCCAGATGTCACCCATCTGACTGTTAGAGCTGTCACCTGAACAGGGGGAGCCTGGTACCAAAGCCTGCACTCAGGGCTTCCCTATTGGATAGACTACTCAGCCGAAGCCCCTACCTTTACCTACACCACTTTAAGGTATTTGGGAAAGGACATGCTGGAAGGAGGGTGTGTGAGAAGATGTGGTGCCACCCGAACCCCCAGAGAAAGACTGGAATCTCGACGGTATTTCTAAGTGGATTGCAGAACTAGCTCACCTCATTCTGTATAGCACGTTCAGCATTTGCTTGACACCTCGGAAGGGGAAAAACCGAGTCCTAAGAGATGGTTTTGTGGGAACTGAGGTTAAACAAGGACAGCTCTACCCTTCTGACTCTAGTTAGCAAGTTCTAGTAACTCCTCCCACTTCTTCTCTTGCTAAGGCTCAAAGAATGGGACTAGAGCCTGGACCGCAGTATTGCCTGGGAGCTTCATACCCTCTCCCTGTCTTGGCCGTACTTGAGATGGAAAAGGAGGTGTCACCCACATGTTACAGGAGTCTTTCTGTGACTTTTCTCAACTCCACTCAAGAGCCATAGCTGAGTTGGGGAAGCGCTGGTTTTGTTTCCTTCCAATTTCTTGTACCAGCCTTCTCCTCTTTCAAAAGCTTAGTGACTGGCTACTCCCTCGCATCCATCTAATTTGCTTTCAGTTGAGTTTCCTACAAGAAAAATTATAACATCGTTTCTACTCAAAGTGAGGTCTTCCCTTGTGGGGACTGGACAAAGTCCTGAATGAATGTATGTTTTTTTATTATTATATCTTTTTTTAATTTTTTAAAAAAATTTCCACTTCCTCCCCTCCTCCCCATACCCTCCCATTCTTCCCCACTCCCTCTCCTCCCCCCCATTCCCTCTCCTCCTCCCTCTCCAGTCCAAAGAGCAGTCAGGGTTTCTTGCCCTGTGGGAAGTTCAAGTTCCTCCCTACTCCCTCCATGTCTAGGAAGGTGAGCATCCAAACAGACTAGAATCCCAAAAAGCCAGTACATGCAGATGAAACAAGACCCAGTGCCATTGTAAATGGCTTCTCAGTCAGCCCCCATGTCAGTCACATTCAGAGAATCCGGTTTGATCACATGCTCATTCAGTCCCAGTCCAGCTGCACTTGGTGAGCTCTCATTCGATCAGTCCCCTTGTATCAGTGAGTGAACGCACCCCTTGCGGTCCTGATTTCCTTTTTCATGTTCTCCCTCCTTCTGCTCCTCATTTGGACCTTGGGGGCTCAGTCCAGTGCTCCAGTGTGGGTCTCCGTCTCTATCGCCATCCATCGTCGGATGGAGGTTCCCTCTGGTTCTGCCTTCCTTGCTCACGTTCTCTTTCCTTCTGCTTCTCATTTGGATCTAGGGAGTTAAGTCCAGTGTTCCAATATGTGTCTCTGTCTCTATCTCCCCCAATATGTGTCTCTGTCTCTATCTCCATCCATCGCCAGATGAAGGTTCTATGGTGATATGCAAAATATTCATCAGTATGGTTATGGGCCAAGGCCAATTCAGGCACCCTCTCCTCTGCTGCCCAGGAAAGAATCTGGGGACCTCTCCTTGGGCCTGAGAACCCCTCCAGAATCAAATCTCTTGCCAATCCTAAAATGGCTCCCTTAGTTGAGGTATATACTTCCCTGCTCCCATATCCATCCTTCCCCCCATCTCACTCCCCCAAGCCATCCCCAATCCTCCCCCTCTCCCCTCTCCCTAGCCATCTCCCCCTACTTCCACCCCCCACACCCCCCATGCACCCAAGTTTGCCTGGCAATCTTGACTACTTCCAATATTCAGGAGGATAACTATATGATTTTCTTCAGGTTCACCTTCTTATTTAGCTTCTCTAGGATCACGAATTATAGGTTCAAAGACCTTTAACTATGGCTAGAATCCACTTATGAGTATGTTTTTGACATAGGTACAACTATGTCAAGGACCCCAATGTTGCTGTCTCCAACAGAGTAAGCACAGACCACATGACCCTAAATTTTCTGTAGGTCTGTCTATCATTTTTTTCAATGTCTATCATTTCTTCACGCCTAAATCATCTGAGTTAGGTTTCCAGGACCAGGCTCTGCAGGCAGAAACCTGAGAAACAGCGTGTCCCTCCGAGCTCAGGAGACCCTGGAACTTGGTCAACTCTGGTTTAAAGGAACCACCCAACAAACAAACAAGCAAACAGAACAAAACCCTGGAAGCTGAGTTTCTTTGTGCTGTAAATGAAATAAGTTGTAGATGTGGCCTCCACGCAGTTTGGAGGATGTTGGAGTGGGGCTATAAAAAGGGAGGGGAAGAGGTCTCAGCATCGACGCAGATGCTTTTCCTTTATGGAAAGCGATTGACCTAGGATTACCGAGAAAGCAGCCATTTCCTGCTCTGCCGCTGAATCTTTATCACACATCAGGCGACCGGATACACAGGTTTTAATCTAGACATTTCATTCTGCTCCACATAGCGTTTATCCGTGTTTCAATATCATGGTCTTTAAATTTGTGTCACTTTACACTAAATCTTGCTGTCTGAGAGTGGAAGGTTTCCAGCTTAGGTTTTTGGGGTTTTTTTTAAGATTTATTTATTATGTATATAGTGTTCAGTCTGCATGTATCCCGGTCCACCAGAAGAGGGCACCAGATATCATTATAGAACACTGAGCTACCATGTGGGTGCTGGGAATTGAACTCAGGACCTCTGGAAGAGCAATCAGTGCTCTTAACTTCTTAGTCATCTCTCTAGCCTCTACCTCTTCTTTTTTAAGATTTTACAGACACACACACACACACACACACACACACACATATACACACACACACCCTCTGCTATACCTTTTCCAACATGAGACAATATTAGTTTTTATTTTACATATGCGTGTGTGTCTATAAATAAATACATCAAAAATGCAAGATAGGATGAGATAACTGAGTTTTGTAGCAAGGGGGAATACCTGCTGGACTTTTTATTGTGACAATATTCAGATCAGTTTGGGAGAAAACAGACACCAAGTCTTCCGCTTCAAGAACACAGTATATGGAATTTGCTATATTTTAGCTCAATAATGACTTCAGTCAGATCGTCCATCTTTTCTGAGGGAATGGTTTATCAGAGTCTCTGTTTTGATTTGTTGCACTTTAAATGAGACGATATTTCTCAAGTCTAACTGGTCACCAGGGCCCAGGTGTCAGTTGAGGAAGTGCAGCAAGAACACGTTCAGAAAAAATGAGAAGGGCTTTCCTAAAACTTCAGACAAGACATGAAAACAAAACACGGCTTTCTCCTGCCCAAAGCTCACGGTTGTGCTGGCTGTGATTCCACTCTCTTGCCCTACGTATTCACTTTATTATAGCCAACTTGGTATCTTATGATGACATCCTTTATTGACAACTAATATAAAGGTTTCTTGTGAATCATTTTACTTTTTGAAAATTTGTACTGACAAGTTAGTTTCTGTAAAACAACTTGCTACGGTTTTCCTTTTTTCAAGGATTCTGGAAATCTGTTCCCTGTATGTATTTAGTACTTGGTGCATGATTTAATTATCAAATACCCTACTGGTAATGCATTTTCATCACACACACATGCACACACACACACACACACACACACACACACACACACACACACACACCAGCAAGACATTTGCTGCAATTTTTGTTTAAGCTTTTTTCCTACTAATTTGACTGTATAGGTGCTTTAAAATACACCATCAATACCGACAGAATTGTTGTTTATGAAAATGACATTTCAAATAATTATGATTGGATACCATTAGAATTTTCTTATCTCTGATTTTAAAATAAAAATCAGTTGCTAGGGTGCCTCTACTCTTGACCCAATTTTGCCTGCACAAAGTTATTTATTTAAAATATTTTAGCTTAAATTCTGAAAAAGACTGCACAATTCTAATTCTTCAACCTTTACCAAGCTCCCGCCACCCCATCTCTAGTACCTTCTTCATTTATGCTTCTTGGCTAACTCTCAACTTTACTAACAAGCTAGCAACAGAAACCCCAGAATTTGTGTTAAAAACTTCATGCTCCCAAGATTTCCTAGGTGGATATAAATCTTTTCTCCACAGGGTTCACAAAATTCAATACAAATTTAATTATCCTCACAACATGGTCAAAAGTTGGGGAAAATGAAGAAAAAAGAGAAATGAAATTCATATCAAGAACAAAACCAAAATCCAAAAACCCATAATAGCTAAGTAATGCTCAGCAATGTGTATTCCAAGATTAAAATCCAAAGCTTTTAACCCCTACTGTAACTAACCTAATTCATCTTACTGTGTTATCTAAAATATATTTGTTATTCATAAATATATTACATAGTTAAATGCTACCAAAAGGCATAGTTTTTAGGGATATATGTGTCATTTAAAGAAATGTCATGCCTTGCTTTTAGAAGGACATCATAACTAGTAAA